CGATAAGCGTCTGTGGATTCATCAAATAATACTTTGCAAAAAACAAACGGGCTAGCCGCAAACGTCCGTGCCGTATAGCGTGAATAACCCTATATAATTACTGATTATGCCCATTATTTCGGGCAACACAATTTTGAAACTTGACTATTTGAAGCGCAGCATTTTTTTAAGCATTAACTGAGCAGCTTCTTAATGGTCTTTGATATGTGCACCCTTTTTCAGGTCAGTCCTTTTACCATTCAGAACTTTGCATTTTTATTGTAGATGGAACCCTTGTTCAGTAATTAGAAAAAAGATTTACAATCTTCATCATCATCAAGATCTTCTTCTGTTTTCAACTTTAATTTTACGTATAAGCTAACTTACCCTGTATATGGTTGTAAAGCCACAGGCAGAAGAGATTCCACCACTTTAGCACTGAAACGCACCCGATACTAATGATTGATTTTCTTTTCTCTTGGTGATCGCTCAGGCAAGGATGGTAGCAAGGTGACCACAGTGGTGGCGACTCCTGGCCAAGGCCCAGATCGACCTCAAGAAGTCAGTTACACTGACACGAAAGTGATCGGCAATGGGAGCTTTGGAGTGGTCTATCAAGCAAAATTGTGCGAAACCAATGAATTGGTCGCCATCAAGAAGGTGCTTCAAGATAAACGGTTTAAGGTAAGCCATTGTTGAAATAATCGCCCCACCCATTTGTAACCCAATGTGTTCTTTTGCAGAATCGTGAGCTCCAGATCATGAGGAAATTAGAGCATTGTAATATAGTTAAACTTAAATACTTTTTCTACTCCAGTGGAGATAAGGTAAGTCTGCATTGGATTTTCTATAATTTTCTCGCTGGGGTGAAGCTGAGGCGGTAGTCGATGTGTTGATATGTTGATATGTTGATATTGCCTCCTACAACTTTGCGTCGAGCTGATTATTTTTAAGGGGCTTTTATGATTTTTTTAAAATTTACTTTCGCTTTAAAGCATTGCACTTGAGACAGGCTCATTATTGCACCTTGAAGGTTATTGAACTGAAAGACAGTGGTGTTTGGGTCCAAGTAAAATGCTTTAAACTACCTAAGTTAAGGTATGTTAATATTTATGTTAATGTTCAGCCACCAGATGTTCCCTGCAACATGTCGATTTTCTTGGCAACTCAGCAGGTACGATCCTGCTTTCAGAGTTTTTTTGGCTTTCATTTTATATCCCTGACATTTTTTTCCAACGTTAATATTCAGATTTTTTCTAATGGTAGTTGCCGATAAACAATTTTGACGCTCGGTTGTTTAAAAGTGGACCCATCAGCTTTGATTAGCATGCATACCAGACTCGTGGCTCAAAGCGTTCAACTTAATTACAATGTTTATCCTGCTTGGCTGGTTGTAATTCTAGTCACAATTGGTGTTTTTTTTTTTAGTAGTAGTACTATCTGGTTCCACTTTTAGTCTTCTCTTCAGCAAAGGCCCTTTTCTGTCTCTTCAGCACCCTCGTTCACAAACCGATATAAAATGAATCCCCGAAAGATATTTAAATGCAGTATAATTTGATTCCTAATACCAATAGTTGTAGCGGGCTTGAATCGATCACACTCCCCCCGATTTCGTTATTAACAACATTGTGTCCATTTAAATGTTTCCAACCTTTTTTCCACCCAGTCTATTGTCTAAAACAGATACCTTGGACATGCCGTTGATGTTGCCGATTTGTTTTCCTCAATCAGTATGGCTGAAAGTGATCAAAGTTCGCCGATTTTGATGACCAATCAATTTGATTATGTTTTTGCAGAAAGACGAGGTGTACCTGAACCTGGTTTTGGAATACATACCCGAAACGGTGTACAAGGTGGCACGACACTATAGTAAATCCAAACAAACTATCCCTATTAGCTTTATTAAGGTATGTATGATGCATTAAAAATTGCATTATTATTTTTAAGAAACTAAAAAATTTAAATAACTTCAGTTACATATTGATGGTCCTTTATAAGATCTTACTTACGTCGGCTCTTTATCTTCTATGTAACTCAATAAACTGCTTCTTTACTTAATTTTTTAAATGTTTCTCAACAGTTATGTTTTTAATATTGTTATTTAGTTTGTAAAAAAAATTGTTCCCATATAATCTGCATTTTTTCGGAAATAGTTAATCTACGCGCCGGATAAGCAATACTGTGTGTTCTAGTGTTATAATCATGACTAATATTGAAACTAAGCAGCTCTTTATTTTTAAAAGTAAAGGAAATTGTTTGATAGTTGTACAGGGTGTTTCGGGGAGAATGGGAAATATTTTGGGAATGATTTGAGCGGGTCAAAATGAGATAAACCTAAATGGTTTCCGATTCTTAACAATTTCTGATAGCAAAGTGTTATTGATTTTTAACATTAGTTTGTGCGTCCAGAAAGCTGGAATTTTTCCAAGCGTAAGGATTTATTTTGAACGAGCGGAGGTTTAACCTCTTTCTAAAGGGTTTGAAACACCCTGTATGGGCCATACATAATTAGTATTATTTTTCACTAATAGGTATAATTAAATTAAAAAATGCGCCAATGAACGCGGCCCTGCAATGTTGGGTTCACTTCTAATTGAACTAATTAAGTTGTGGAGCTTTATAACGTTTAACTAAAACAAATTGATTTATTCTCATATAACGCATGGAAAAACTATTCAATAGAGCATAGAAAATTGGTACATGCTTTCGCTCCAATCGCTTCTTTCTGCCCTGAAAGAATATTGACAAATGTGTTATTGCTCTACGAATATAAAAAAGTAAAGTGTATGTACTCGTATTCACTTGCCGAACAACAAAATATCGTTTTCACGTAGTAAACTTTGGTCAAACTCTTGTTTTCATTCAATATGTTTGTATTATTGATTTTACCAGTTAGTTTGTAAAGGCAGCTTTGCTCTACGCTCTATAAAATTTGTTTCGTTCGATTAATTAGTTCATTGAAAATTGTTTGCTTTTAGTCCTATTTTATGTATTATAAATAAACATTTTAATTGTTTTGATGTAATAATATGCTTGTCGATATAGTGAGCACCAATTTCAACAACGTGCTAGTTTATTTGTATTTGATTAAATGTATTTTTTGGTAATGTTAGTTTGGGTTTTTTTCTGCCGAGTCTTTCTTAGGCTTTGAATTGCTGTCTTCGATTACTTAATTTTTTAATCATTTTTTTTTCGAATATCCGATTATATTATTATACCAATGAAGGGAAATGACGAGCAAGCAAATTGAAATGAAATAAATCGTCCAAAGTCAATAAATTGTTATAACTATCCGGGTGCATGGATGGAAAATGTGTCAAAAATATTCAAACGGGAGAAGTGTTAAATTTGCTATGGTTTGCAGATTGAATCATTTAAAGTGTGTAAAAATTTAGTACATGATACCCAAACTACTGCCCTTCTTTTCTGGGAGCTCGAAATGAGACAGTCGAAACAATAAAAAAATAGAGGCGGTTGTCACCATTCCATTTAATGTATAAAGTGTCTTTAAGGTACCCTATTTCATCTGAAAAGCTACAAAATGCTTGAAAATTCTCTCAGAAAACTATGAGCCTTTTCTTGCTTTTTGAGGTAACTTTTGTGATCTAAATTATGCGCCAAAATTGTTTTTTTAATGAAATTTATTGATGGTTATAAAATTGTTAAATTAATTTTACTGATTTATAATTGCAGCTTAATTCACATTTGATGAACTACTTTGAAGGTTTCAGTTTTATTCAATTGGTTTAGCCGAATAATTTGATAACTTTAGACGCATTCCCTGTTTGTCATTTTTAATTAATCATTTTCTTAAATTGATGAAACGGGTTTCTTTTTTAATCAAGTATATTTTTTTACTTTAACAAATAAATTTGTGGTTATAAGGAATAACCACAAGGTTTTAGTTCTCATTTCAAAACAATAGTAATATTTTTTTAGATTTAGATTTTAAAAGAACAGATAAATATCTACATAGAGATTTTCTCACTGATCAACAGAGGCAATAGATTAAACAACTAACGGTTTTACTTGAAAAGCCCTGTTTTTCGAATCAATTTGTGGAAGAACTAATTTGCTTTAATTAATAAGTAATTGTACGTACTTTCCTGACTGTGTTTCAATTCCAAAATTAAAATCAAATCCTGGGTTCTTCAGTCATTTATTGTTCATTTATCAATTTAAAAAAAACGTTTCGGTGTTTTCCACCATCATCAGTTTTAATGTGTAGCGTTGTTGCTACTTTACGCCTTGGCATGTATTTGGAGTATTAATTTTGTCCATTTTGCAACATAAAGCGAAATCTCTCATAATTTCGCTTTATGTTGCAAAATGGACAAAATTAATACTCCAAATACATGCCAAGGCGTAAAGTAGCAACAACGCTACACATTAAAACTGATGATGGTGGAAAACACCGAAACGTTTTTTT